GGGGACGGGGACAGACAGACACCATGGACCCATACCCTCCCTCTTTTTGCTCCTTGCTTATTCCTGCACTGAGTGCAGCTAGGCAGAACCTGGGAACCTCTTTGCTCACGACCCCATGAGACACTCATGAGCAAGGTTTTGGGGGTGTCTACTCCTTGCACAACCGCATTTGTTGCTTTAGACCACTCAATACCTTCTATAATCCTCCTCCCCCTTAGGATCAAGCAAACTGAGCGCTGGTTAGGTTTAGTTTTTACAGTTACACATAACAACATCCTTGCCCGTACATCCAGCCCCAGGCTGATGCTTGTGCATGAAGGTCATCACAAAGACTCTTGCTGCGGTAGGGACGAGCTGCCGGCAGAGAGAGCCAAAGCACTAGACAATAAACACTGCGCAAAGCATGTGCAGGGCTGCATTTAGCATTGTGCTGCCTGGGTGAAGGGAAAACATCTGTTGATGCTCAAGGACCTTCTTATTAGGGCATTCGGAGCCACAGATATTTTTACCATCTGCCTGCCAGTGTTCCTCTCTGCAAAACAGCCTTCCCCCCAGCCAGGCATCCCTTCCCAGCCTGTCTTGCTCCTGCTACAGGCTTTAACACTGACAGCCAGTTTGTTTGAGCTACCAAAAAACAGGCTCCCACCAGAAGGTGGTGCCCATATTCCACGAAACACGGGGCAAGCACTTTGCAACACAGTCCACTTTTGGGCAACACTTCTCCAAAATCAGTAGAACAAAACCACAGACCAGCCTATGCCAGACTCCCTCAGAAAGCAGGGTGGCATTTTTGCAGAAGTAACCTGCAGTGTAGCTCACTAGGGTGCGGTGCAGTGTACTTTCTCTTAAGGGTTTCTGTCTTGATGGACTTTTTAATGAACAGAGCCCTGCAACTGTTGTAAGGAGTTTATTAAACCCATGATCCTGCCTGGATATTCACCTGTTAACTAAAGAGCACACAGCCCTGAACCGAGGTGCTTATCTTTGTCTAAAGCCGCATGTGCATGCTGATTTCTGTGCACTACTTTGATGCTATCCCAGTTTGCTCTTGATGCTCTATCAAAGGCAGATGTGGAATGAGGAGCATGGAAAGGCCATAGATTTGCTGTGATATATGAACACACCAGCTCAAAACATCAAAAGGGATGCAGGCTTCAGCCTTCCTCCAGTATTTTCTTGTCTCCAGCTGTCTGCTACTGTACTGGCAATTTGCATTGCTTCTCTCCAGCTCGCTGCTAGCCAAACATCAGCAGGCTTCCTCCTTGGTAGCTGCAACAGCATGCAGGTACCACTCGGTTACTTGGCAAAGGTTATGTCCCCTGTCCAACCAGCAGCTTGTCACACACTGCATCAGGAGCTGGGGTGAGGGTGGGATGCTGCAGGGCACCTATGTCACATCCCTCTTTCTCCCTGCAGCTCTGTACCACAGCCCCATGACAGCAGGGGGTCATTTCCCGGTCCTCATCCCCAAGAGGAGACACCACTGCCCCAGGCAGCAGCACACACCACTCTCAGCAGTGGTTCAGGCAGGTCCCTTCTCCATTAAACATCCCATCTTTGAAAAAGGTTATCACCATGGGGCTCTAAAGTACAGCAGAAAGTTCCCAGGGCACAACCCAAAAGGTTTTCTAACACATGGGCTTTGTGATTTACAGTTAACTCTTCTCACCACCCAAAAGAGATGGAGCTTGGAGAGATAGCTGTGGTTGAACATCCCAGTGAGAGGCAGTTGTACACGGAGCAGAAGCCAAGAGCCCAGGACCTGCTGGGGAGAAGCAGAAATCGGATCCACCAAGTTTTCGGGTATCTCACAGGAGAAATGAAAGAATATGGCGAATGGATGAAAAGTAAGCAGAGAGATATGTTTGGGGCTTTCTGGCTAGGAAGAACTAGCTGGGAACACCTGTATTGCCAACAGTACTTGCAGTGCTGGGGCACGAGACGAGGGGCCATTTTGCCCCCTGAGGCAGAGCAGAGGCGGCGTGGTCCAAGCTCACTGCAAACTTCTGGCCTTTTAACCCAAATCATTTTATTCTCAGGAAGGGGATCTCACTGCATCCTCTTGCCACTACCGTGGCTGCAGGCATAATTCAGCACAGGCAAAAGACGTCTCTTACACTTAATCGGTTATGTGTCATTAGCATCACATTCCTTATAGCGGCGCCCAGAATCATCCCATCAGGGCTGGGGATTTAGTCTTGTTTGTAAGTGCCTTGGATCGGCAACCATCTCCTCGGCCGCGTGTGGGCTGGCGATGGAGACTTGATTCCTGATTGTGTGGACAAAGGCTCTTGTATTACCAGCCTTGGGGGAGCAATAAGCACTGTGGCTGTTATGTTGCTATAAAATACAAAGCAAGTACTGATCTCAAAGGTTTACTGTCCAGACAGGAACAATACACGATGGTCTGCATTAACCAGAATTATTAGGGATTTGGGGCTTTGAGAGGCTATGTAGGACTGTGGGTCCTCTGCCAAGGCTAGGTTTGCTAGCCGTACAACTCCAGCAATGGGAGAGAAATAAGAGACAGCCGTGTACAGCCAGGCTGTGTGGTGGCTAACGTTGGTGGAGGAGGTTGGCTGAGATGCCTCCAGGCAGGAAGCTCATCAGGCTGGCAGTGTGATCCTCAGCCACAGGGGAGCATCTCCTTCTGCTTCCTTTTTACTCCAGTGGTCCATGCTTGGTAGACAGCTTTTCTTACTCAATGTCCTGAAAAGCTTTGGCCACATTTGAATACTACCAGTTATACTTGTGTCTAAAACCATGAGCATTGCTGATATATCTCATAGCTCAACACTAAATATTAGTAAAAATTATTTCAGACAAGCCTGGTCATTTTTCGCTAAAAAACTCATTCCTCCCTGGTTGTAACTGCCTGGCTCCCCAACAACGCACAGCCTGAGGGATGCTTGCGAAGCCATCCCTCAACTTGCACTCCAGCCTCTTGGGAGGACTCTCCCAGTGATGCTGAAGAGATGCAGAGTGGTACCCGGCCCTTCAAAGATCCTCTATTTAAGCTAATCTCATCAGAAAGCAAAACTTGAGACTTGACTGTAGATACAATACAGGGAAGTGAAAAAGGAGGGAGTGGGGAAGAGAGGAGTTTTTAGGAATAAGTCATTGACCAGATTCAAAAAGTAGTCTGGCACTTTATGCTGTGTCTAATTAACAATCTAAACTAATTGAATTAATTTTAAATATTTAAGAAGGTGAAAGCTGCATATACACATTGCATGAACATATTGTACATGTAAGAAGCCCCTCTTTCTCATTTATTCTCCTTGTATCATGTTTAATAATGCATAGCAGTACAGAAATGCTTACACCTTTCCCAGAAGCGTGACAGAAAAAGACTTAAAGTCAATTTGCAGTAGAAGAGCCAGCAGCAAAAAGTTATTGCAGTGCTACAAGACCCTCCTCGCCCCATGGAGATCATTAGGAGCACTGAACATAGAACATAGAATCATAGAGTCTTTTAGGTTGGAAAAGACCTTTAAGACCATCAAGTCCAACCATTAACCTAGCACTGCCAAGTCCACCACTAAACCATGTCCCTAAGCACCACATCTACACGTCTTTTAAATACCTCCAGGGACGGTGACTCAACCACTTCCCTGGGGAGCCTGTTCCAACGTTTGACAACCCTTTTGGTGAAGATGCCCTCAGCCAGGCTGCCCTCAGCCCCACACACATCCCACCTCCCCCCCGGCAGTCACCTGAGATACCTGAGTTTGGTGCCCATTTGCTCTGTTGAGGTTCAATAGTCTTCTCTGAAGAGCAATGGCTCTTTGTCCTTTGGAAATGCCTCTTTCCCCTGAGTGCAGCCCAAGCTATAATAACTATTCTCTTAATTTAGGTTCTTCAGTTCACAAAGTACTTTTTTAGACACCTTTGACAGTTTGACCCCATCTCCTATATACAGTGTACCTCTATGTTCTGGGTCCCTAAAACAGCAAGTGTTTCCTTTTCATATTTCCCTATCCACGTACAAACTAGTTTCAGTCTTTGCCTAAGTCCCTTCTCTGCATCTGAATTATACACCAAAAAGGGACTATCTCCTCATTAAATTTATAGCAAAATCTTAAGCAATCTACTATGCAAGAAAGACTATTCTTTGACCACCATAAATTAACTGTTTTTTTATGAATCCCTCCATGAACTTTATAGCAGTGCCCAAACCATCCCTATTAGCTTTTCAAGTGCCAGATGCAAAACATGCTCAGACAGCAATAAATCAGAGACTGGTTTTACAGTCCTGCTGATACATCGCCTCTGTTTTGTGGCCAGAAAGTGACTGTAGAGATGAGTGTGCTTTGAGGGAGTCCTACTGAAATGATGCTTTATCACCAGCGTTTTCATTTGATCTCCTCCAGATAAGCCCCTAATGGTCCAGCTGGTGGACTGGATCTTGCGAGGGACCTCTCAGGTGATGTTTGTCAACAACCCTCTCAGTGGGCTGATCATTTTAGTGGGTATCTTCATCCAGACCCCATGGTGGATGCTCACGGGCTGTACTGGAATGACCGTGTCGACACTAACTGCGCTGGCCCTCAGTCAGGACAGGTAGGTGGTACCTCGCATACGGGCAATTAATAAAAATTTATTGTTATGGTATCAGGAACCCGCTGATGGGTCATAGCCCCACATTTGAGTATGTTAGAGCCAGCAGACCAGCTCTCCTTATGGACGGTTTGGAAGCAGTTAGGTGAGGACAGAGCTGTAGTCCAGAAAGAGCTGGCCTGTCCCCATAGTTGGCTGTCTTTGTGAGAGCAGACTGTTACCTCTCTCCAGTAGCCATTATCGCAGTAATGTAGGTCCTCTGGGTCACAGGAAACCCCCTGGATCATCATCATTCAACAGCCTCCAAACTCCTGCCTTCCGCACACCAGTGCAACGCAACATGGCAGTTACCTCACCGCTTTTTCATCCTTCCCCTACACTCCCTTCACTGGGAGCAGGACGCTCATAAATTGTGTTTCAGTGGGTCCCTGTGACAGGTCACCTTCAGCATAGCTTGTTACCTTGCAAACATTTCTTTCCATCACAGATCCGCCATCGCAGCTGGGCTGCACGGCTATAACGGTATCTTGGTGGGACTGCTCATGGCCGCCTTCTCTGACAAAGGGGATTACTACTGGTGGCTTCTTCCTCCTGTGGCAGTTATATCAATGGCCTGGTAAGTGCCACTTCTCCTCCATCGGACAGTTCTCAGAGAATGAGGAGTCCTGCTATATACAGCTCAAACACATTGGAAGTCCCCTCTACACCAGCAGCTCCAGCCACCGTGGCACTGGAAAGAGGCGTTCATTGACGCACAGAGCTTGTGAGGCACGTTGGTAGGAGGTCGAGTGCACAGACAACACTGATTATAGCACACGGACAACGCAGCCCCACTTCAACGCTCTGCAGATAGCCCTCATCAGCAGGACAATTCGGAGCGGATGTCCTTGTGCCCAACACCAACCGTTCTTCCTCATCCAGGCGCTGAACCGACCCGGTGCTCTCCCTCGGGCTGAATTCAAGCTTCCCCCACTCAGACATACAACCAGTCATGAGCAAAATTAATTCCTCCAAGTAACTCTGAATGCCAGACAATGGCCTTTCAGGATTAAATTTACTATTTCTAAATATGGACCCTAACAGCACTGCAGAATCTATTTAACAGCCTTAACTGAAATTAATTCAAGAGTCACATTTTAATCACTGTTAGCGATAAGATGCAAGTCATTATTGCATTTCACTGCTTTTAAAATCAGATTTTTTTCATATTTTATTTTTTTAGTCACTCTCAGCAAAGGTTATTTTGTAACAACCTCTCAAAACCCGGGACGTGTTGCAAGAATGTTTAGTTTGTCTTGTCTGCCAGAATTCCTTGAGGCTTTTTATTCAAATTTTCCTTCGTTCTTTTAGTTCACAAGACTCGAGGGTAGAGATGAAAGATTTTGAAATTAGACATTTCAGTGATTTTTTCAAATGATACTTTGAATTTCATCTTTAGAAGTCAGCATTTCTTTAATTGTTTCTTTTTTTTTTCTGACAAGTTGTATAACTGGCAGAAGCTTTGTATTTCAGCACAGAAATTAGGACACTGTTTTCACTGAAGTGCTGATTTTTTTCCCACAGCTACAAGCAAGTAAATCTGTAAACTGCTCTGGTAACCAAATTTGCCGTAAAAGAATAGGCTTCATTTGAGATTATACAGGAAGAACAAAGCATTTTTTCCACTGATAGTATCTACCCAACAGGACACAAGATGTTGCTTTTGAAATGCCAAATAATTTGGGTGGGGTTTTTTTATTAGAACCAGCTTAATGACTTTCCAGGACTCAAATGCAGCTTCGTGAAAAATTCAAGTCTTTAAAATGAATTTTTGTAAACTGTGCAATGCCCACTGCTACTTGGAGGTTGACCATAAGAGCTGCTCAGCTCACTTACATCAGGAAAGCTCAGCTGGAAGCAGCAGAACACAGTCTATTGCCATCAAGGACAGGATCTGCCCTTTCACTCTCTTCCACATGCTTTCTGGGCCCCCTAAAAAACAGATAGTATCTTGCCAATATGCTACTGCAAAGGCATTCATGCAGGACGCCCACTTCAAGTGGAAATAAGGCAGTCTGGAAATGTCCTGAGAAAAACAGATCTGGTGAAGTTTATATCCCAGGTTCTACAGCCAAGAACTTTGGGAAAAGTCATGGTATCTCAAGGTTTGCATGCTTTTTAGTGTTCAATCTCTAAATATTTTGAGGGTCACCCCAAATACTTTAGGTGCTAAATATACTCAATCATGTTTCTGAAGAAGGAAGCTCAGTTTTCAGAAAATGCCATATGATTTTGGGTGGTACCTGGGCAGCACACAGTAACATCAGTCCATTGACATAAGCAGGAGCATCAAGGTCTGAGTCATGCCTGGCACACCACCTTTCACAGTATCAAAATAGTGTCTAACATAGTAAATATTTTCCATTTTTCTTAATGGAAGATTTTCCATCCTCTTTGATCACCTCTTCTGCTTTATTTCTTTTGCAGAACCATCTTCTGATATCCTTCAAACTGTTTAAACAAAAAAAAAAAATTAGGTAATTTCCAACTCCCTCTTGCCTCCTCAAGACAGCAGCTTCTTAGGCCATCTAAACTTCTCCACAGTTCTTCATGTGGCATTCCCAAAATTTGCTCTTCTGTTTCTTGTTAGATTTTTCTACCAAATAAGAAGCCAGATTGCCTTTCTCCATCCGTGCCTAAATGCTGTACTGGATGTACATTTCTTTGCTGTCTTCCTGAGCCCGGCATAGCTAGCAGACCGCTTGCACACCAGCCAACTGTCCTGAGAGAAGGGCGTGGAGTTTATACCACCCATGAATGGATGTGATAGCTGTTGCAAAAAGATGAACAGCATTCTGTGACTATTTGTCTGATGCATACTAACATATTAAAGGTATTCACTACCTGATGTTTCTAAAAGGAATGGCATTGGCTTGCATTTACCAGAGCTTATGACCAAAGTGGTAGGCTGTTTCACCACCGCAAATGTTATGAACGAGTTATACTTGTTCCTCTTCTCCTTCTGTTCTCAGTCCAATCCTGTCCAGTGCTTTGGGATCCATCTTCAGTAAATGGGACCTTCCTGTCTTCACTCTGCCCTTCAATATCGCGGTGACTTTGTACTTTGCAGCCACAGGACACTACAACCCCTTCTTCCCTACAACCCTCATCAAGCCTGTAGCATCAGTGCCCAATATCACCTGGTCAGCAATCAATGTGCCACTGGTAAGCTTCGTTCCAACAAGTTTATGCTATTTCATTAAAAAGGTGAGTGTGAAGGCATTCAGCTTGGGATAACAATTTTGCATGGCTCAGAATGGCTATATGATATGTACAGCCAGTAGCAATTCACAGAAATATGTGGCTCAGTTCAGTCCGTAGAGGACAGTGCCATAAAAGCCCTAGGGAAAGTCCTGGCTGATCCAGCAGAAAGGCTGATTGA